AGAATAAATTAAGGTCCTGAATCTACAATGATACTAAAACAAAGAAAGTGAGAAAAAGAAACAATTCATTTGCCACCATTAGAAGTGATTATTATACCATCCACTTACTCAGGAAATTGTTAAAAGGAAAATTAAGAATTTATCTAACTTTTGATAGAAATTATAATTATTCCTAACTGATAAGGGAAATCTTTACAAAAGACTAAAGACTAATCAATGTAAAAGGGACAGCAGAATTGGAAAATTAGCACTTTGCAACGACCAAAGAAACAACTGGTTCAGACAAGGATCCCTATCATTAGGTGACAGACTGCTGAAAAAGTGGAATAGCATAGTTCCAAAGTGTCACCACTCTACAGATTACTTACTAACTACAAAGGGAAAAAAATGTCTACACTGGAGATTTGGTATTTTAAACAAATGATCAAACAAACAAACATCATTAATAATGGGATATTATGACATTATTTCTCTTATTGTGACCCAATGGGAGGTACAGAGCAATACCTATGAAGAATTCTTACCAAAATCTTACCAAAAGTATTTAACCTGAATCTAATCAGACCATAGACTTAAATGCCAGTTTATAGGAAATACAAGCATAAAGGAACCAATTAAATGAAACCGTGAAGAAACAATCAGAAAATTCTAGAAGTGATATATTCAGTAAGAATATATCACTTGGTCTCTTGGTATCACTTGGCTTGGTCTCTTCATAAAGGCAATTTCTTGTGGCTTCTAAATAAACTGCTCTAAATTTAAAAAGACTAAAGATACATGTCTGGAGAAAATCTGAACATTAACTGGATATTAGATAGTTTTAGGAAATTACTGTTAATTGCCTTAACTAAGACAATGTATTCTAAGAACAATTAAGCAAAACAATCTCTTTAAAAAGATGCATCTAAAGTATTTAAAGTATGAAAGTATTAAGATGTCACGATGTCTACAACATAAAAATTTACACATTATATATATAAACACAAGTACACATATATATGTAAAGTAAATACAGCAAAAGGGAAACTATGGAATCTAAGGGATAATTGGTATAAAGGTGATAACTGTTCTATTCTTTGAATTTTTCTGTATGTTTAAAATTTTTTACACAAACAGTTGTAAAAGGCGGGGTAGGGAAGGGATCAAAATGCACTTCCTCCAGGAAGGCCTCCGAAAGGAACTCTCCTCTAAACCTTATCACTCTCTTACAAAGTCCTCTCAACATGAAACACAGTGTATTGCGTTCCCATTCTAAGTATTCACTTACTATTTCACATATGCAGTAGATTTGGTTTTCTAACAAGACAGTGAGCTCCTTCAGGCCCAGGCATTTTTAAGTTATTTTCCATTTCCTCACAACTCACAGTGAAACAGTCTACAATTTAGGAGACTTTTAAAAAGCACTAGTACCAATACCTTAGGAAAGCTCTCAGTAAAGCACCTCTAACTAACTGGGTTAGCTTTTTCAGCTCCTCAACAGAATGGCAGTTTGCTTGTACAAACAACTTGGAGTCAAAGCTATCAAAAGGAGATCCTAAAACATCGCTTATGGGCTTACAGAATTTTGCAGAGAAAATAGCATCTAGGAGTTAAAGGAAGCTTAAATTTTAAGCTTTATGTCTTCTGAGAAGTGTCATGGATTTGCTGTGTTATTCAGACCTGTGACTTTATTCTCACGACATTATTCTTTAGTGAACACTATCTTCCACCACCACTCCCATCTGCAGACAGACAGTATTTATCCACAACTCTTGGGTATAATGAAACTTAATGAGCTACATAATGAACTTAAAATCTTAGATAAAAGACTGTACAAAGAAAAAAAAACCACTTTGATAATACAGTGCTGGTGAGGAAAAAGGCAGACTCACACAACTTCTGGCAGGAACATAAATGCATACAACCTCTATGACAAGCAATTCAGCAGTATCTAACAACATTAAAAATGCATACATCCTCTGATCCCGCACTTCTGCTAGGACTTTACCCAAAAGATACCCATGTACCTAAAAAGCGCATACAAGGAATTAGTTGTAGCGCTGGAAACAACCTAAGTATCCAATGATAAGAGCTGGCTGAATGATGGTACATCTGTACAAGGCAATATCTGTCATCTTTCAAAAAGGAAGAGGTTTTCTATAACTGTATGGAATGATGGCCAAGAGTTACTAAGTGACAAGAGCAAAGTGCAGAATAATGGCTATAGTATCTTACCATTTGTGTAAAACAGTAAATAAAAACAAAAACTTAAAAGTTGTATATGCTTATAAAAGCATTGACTATCTCTGGAAGGGTAAACAATATAAGGGTCACAACAGTTTACTTTGCGGAGGGTTTAGGAGGGTTTAACTAGATGGACGAAAAGAGGACAGAGAAGGAGATTTTTCTCTTCCTGTGTACCTTTTGAATTTTGTTTCGTGTGTGTTACCCATCTTATTTTTTAAAATATTTATTTATTTTAGAGAGTGAGAGACAGTGAGTGCAAGGTGGGGAGAGAGAAAGGGAGAGAGTCTTCAGCAGACTCTGAGTTGAGTGCGGGGCCCCACGGGGGACTAGATCTCAGAACCCTGAGACAACTGACCTGAGCCAAAACCTAGAGTGGGAAGCTTAACCAACTGTGCCACCCATGTGCCCCATGTGTTACCCATTTTAAAGAGTCTTTTTAAACATGGCTTTGCACCAATACAAATTAATGATACTCCTCCTAATCCTAAAAGCAGTCATGCGTTCACACCATAACAATTTTTGAATAAGGCTTCAGTAAATTCAACCAAATGAAACACTTCTAGAAACAAAGCACCACACATGACAGAAACCTCCTGAGAAGTGGCTACTTATTTCTTTCAAAATTTTTATCAGAACCTGATGCAAGTCTGGACACAGGCAACACTGAACATCTTCCAGTTCACTAACCACTATGAAGAGCTCTACCAGAAGTCACCAAAGCGCCAACAGACACCAACAAACTATCCCCACCCTAAGTGTGGAGCTGTCCCAATAACTTTATACTCCTCAGTCTTCACACAAGGAAAACAAGATAAGTCTCCAGCTCTTTCCAGGAAACGGGATGATCTATGCCCCCCCCCCCCACCAAATTCCTGTGCTGCTTCTGTGTCATCTCTTGGGTCCCACTGTAACCATGGCAACAGAAAACAGCACAAAAGACAGCTGAAACATGCAAAGGCCAGGGTTAAAAGGGGAAGTGAAAAAAAATATATATATATATATACTTTAAGGCCCCAAAACATAAGGTCCTACAGTTAAGAATGGCAGCCAAGGGGTGCCTGGATGACTCAGTGGGTTAAAGCCTCTGCCTTCAGCTCAGGTCATGATCTCAGTGTCCTGGGATTGAGCCCCGCATCGGGCTCTCGGCTCAGCAGGGAGCCTGCTTCCTCCTCTCTCTCTGCCTGCCTCTCTGCCTACTTGTGATCTCTGTCTGTCAAATAAATAAATAAAATCTTAAAAAAAAAAAAAAAAAGAATGGCACCCAAAAAAGCCTTGCTAGAATACCAAAGAAAGAACACAAAGGGAAGAAAATAGAAAATAAAATATCACCCATCCCCAGTTATCCAGATAGGAAACCGGTTTGTCAAAGATAACTGAAAAACAAACAAAAAGCTGCCCCCGCCCCCAACAATTCAGTTATTCATTTCATTGCTATTCAGTAAACCTTCTGCCTGTAAGAATTTATCATCTCCTCACCCTGTTCTGATGTCAGAGGGAAGAAGCATCCAAGTATCTAAGAGTGGCCATATAGCAGCAAATTAAGGACCATGAAAAATCTGCCAGCTGAAAACCTACGTCCTGGATCACTGAAATAATACTGTACTTTAGAGTTCCTTATTTTATACTGATCTTCATTATTTGCAAATGGGCAAGAAACATCACTCCCACTGCTTAAAGTTAAAAACTCCACGGGGTAAGTTATCCCCCACTAGTAGTTTCAGATTGCTTTTGTTTTCGTGTGATATTCACAGAGCATCAATAATGTACAGCTAAAACGAAAGTGCTAAGAAGTTTTGGTTTGTTTTTTAAAAGGAAGATCTTTCACAAAACAAGAGGCAAATAGGTCACACAAAGTAGGAGAGCTAGAGAGGAGAGAACCCTGATGTCTTGATTTACAGTTACTGCTCTAAGCCTTACACTGTGTTCTCTATTTCTACCATATCTAGTTCTACAAAGACAGTTAAGAATTTTACTAAAAGATAGTCCTTACTTTCTTTTTTGTGACCCTTAGTCCTCCTTAGAAAAGCCACCAAAATCCCCTGCCAGAATAATTGAATGGGTTGGGGCACCTACTCCTAAGTTTAGGGGATGCTTGTATTAAAAAAGTACACCATGACTGTGGGAGGAAAGAAAAGTAATCCTGGAACTAGAAGTTGCAGTGACAGTTTCAAAAGAAGGGTCAGCGTGGGGCACGTTGGCTCTGGAAGGCGTTAGTAGCCTGGGAGTCTCTAGGGCAACATCAGATGCAAATACTGCTTTGTCAGAAGGTCCGTCAAATAATTTAAACGCTCCCTTTAGGATAGGAGCAACAGGCACACTATCTGGCAGCCCACTGTCTGCGAAGAAGGCGGGCGCGTGGTCAAGGGGCTCTTTATCCCGCAGGTCCCTGCAACACTGCGATGCGCATGCGCCCCGGGGGCAGCGAACAAGCACCCCTAGTTCTTTCACACTCGCGCATGCGCAGTCACCCATCTCGCCGCAGGCGACAGCTCACTATTTGGCAAGGGGGATGGGGCTGGGAAAATGATGGGGGGGCTGAAGGCAGGGGGCGCATTTGTGTCTCCTGAATGCTTAGGATTGGGGAAGGAACGGCTGATTAGGCTCTGACATTCCCAGGCCACGTAACCCAAGATGTGGGATATGGAACAGAGAAGAGTATGTGAGTGGCGGGGGGGGGGGGGGGGGGGTGGGGGGGCAGTCACCTCTTAAGGGAGGCGCCCCCCCCACACTCCCACAGGACAACCCTCTCCCTTGACTCTCCTCCCCCCACTCACCTGAGAACGGCGGCGACAGCTGCTGGTCCCCGTCCCCCTGCGCTCGCTTCATACTGTCCGCAACATCCGGGACCTGCGGGACCGCCGATACACAAATACACACACACTCGGAGCGCGCACACTCACACACACACACACACCGACACACACACCGGCCGGGGCGTCATGGCGTCAGCACGTAGACGCAGCGAGCGCGTACCCGCCAGGCCCCACCCCGCGCGGCCTCCGCTCCTCTTCTCCCCTCCCTGAGTTCTCCTGCCCCTCCTCCCTCTTTCTCAAGACTCTGCCTACCTCCCTTACTGCGCGTGCGTCCCGCCGGCTCCACTGGGCCGGGGGATTTGAGGGGAAGGAGGGGCTTGACTAGAAAGAGGCGGGAACAGGGAGGGGGTTGCACGCCCGGCGCGGCAGGCTATGCGGAGGTGCGAGGACCAAAAAGAGGCCTACCAAGGGTGGGGGTGGGGGGTTAGGGGAGTCAGGGTGGGCAGCGTAACAATAAGGGCATTGAACAATAGCAGTTTATATTTGCAAGAAGTGTATGGATTACCGACACTTTTAAGTCGCATTCCCTCACTTTTTCTGAAAGCTTTGTGTCAGTAAACTATTTTTTGGACTTCATGATAATTCTAAAGACTTTTAAGTCACCTAGATTTTGGCATTTGAAAACAAAACCAAGGATCATCCTCTTGGGGGAAGATGGGCATGTGGGTGGCTTAACTGAAAGGGACTTTATTCAGTGACAACTTGTTGTCTTGGACACCCAGGTCCCCAGCTGGCCTCACATCCCGGCTCCCAAGGGCCATCAGTGACTCCTGGGTTGAGTAAAAGAAAAAAAGCCTCCAGCATCTTGGCCCTTGGAGCGGGGGGGGGGGGGGGGGGGGGGGGGGGGGGGGGCGCCCCTGTGGGGGGGGGGGGGGGAGGGGGGGGGGGGGTTGGTGTTTTTTGTTT